TTACTCCACCCTAGAAACACAGTGACTCATATCACGAATATGATGAATATGTGTGGAAGTCGAAAATTCTGCTCAATTCCTTGTAGTAAGTGGTTGCTATTAGCCCAACGCTTTGTTCATACAAAATTTGTAGTCCATCTAGTTTAATGGCAATAGATAAAAATTGGCCTAAGAAAAGTGTAGGTGGAGTTCCATACCTTAAGAGTATGGTTGTCTCGCGAGAATATGCAACATGGCCTAAACTTGCCTCATCAGCACTCACAGCGGGACTCGAATCTTGGCACTGCAGCATATAATCCCTGCACTTTAACCACGACGTCACAGGGTAGATGTGAATTTCAACGAAGGACAGACATTTTTTCATACACATTCTGTGGTGGGATTGCCGATGAAGCGAAACTGCATTTGCTATAGGAATCGGTTAGGTCAAGTATTTTTCATCTATAAGCAGGTTTTCAAACTACCAATAGATTAGATATGAGGTGTATTGTATAAATCATAATTAACTTTAGTAATGAAAATTACAAAAAATATAATGCAACATCGAGTGATATGTAGGAACCTGCCGAAAATTAAGATTTTATCAATTAGTAAATAATAATTTCTTCATCTGGACTAGTAGTCTCGAAAATCTGCTCATAAACCAAAGAAAAACTAATGCAATCGATTGTTATAGCAAATACAACTTTACTTCACCGACAATCCCACAAGAGAATGTGACTGGTCTTAATTGAAATTGGCATAGGCTCTGTGGCAATGGGGCGGAGTAGTTAACGAAGTGGGATTACACGCTTAACTGTCATGGTTCGATTCCGGCTGGGGATGATGATGAAGCCATGACGGATTCGAAACTGCATTCCGGCCTGAATGAGAATAGCTTTTGAAAAAACAAGGTTGTGTGAAATGCAATAGATGCGTAAGGTTTAATCATTTAATTGTGGTTAAAATTACACTACCGGTATTTCATCGACTTAACCGAAATATGGTTGTTTTATCTCATTTATATGATTTACTGGTCGGTGGTGCTTTGATATGACTCATCACATTTTTTAGGACACTGAGTAGTACAGACTTCTCCGAGCGAGGCCATAGTGATATATACCACATTTAAACGGGTTTTACTGATTCTCCTGAGATATACTTTTTTATAACCTTAATTTAGTTTGGTGAGGCGAGTGGAAAGGATTCGCAAGTTGGCCCCGCAACCAACTGAACGTGTATTTGCCTTGGAGCTATGATTTCCGATTTGTGCCATCGATGTCATGTGACGGACATGGTCAGAGAAGACATGTTTTAAGGTTATTCACCAAAACACGGATACAAGAAAAGGGGTCGGCTGCAATCCCACCTACTTTCTATGGCCTAACTTTGTCCAAGAACTTTGTTCATTATATTCAGTTTGAGGTCATGATGGACTGGTAGTTGAATTTTCCCACAATTTTATGATTAGGCCTCAAATTTCCATTGAATTTCACGAATTCTTGCTACCCAGAACGCATTCTCATCCAGTGTTGACTGCACCCTACAAAGATAGGGCGAAATCAATTCGTATTTGCGTTCTACTGGTAGTCTCGAAAGCCAAGTTACAAAAGAAAAATCACTTTGTCCACTTGATGAGGCATCTCCTGATTTGGTTGGCAACTCTATGCTCCTCCTACAGGCTTGACAACGCAATTGCAACCGAACAGCTGTATCCTACCCAAACTGTGTGAAGTTGATTCGAGGTCTTATTCGCACAAATCTTCAATCCCACCTTCAAGACACTTCTTTTTCGGCTTCCGGTGCTACCAATTTACGAATCCCTCCGATTTGCCTTTTCTGGGCATCTTCGAAACCAA